AAATATACATTTTACTTTGTTTTAATTATATAAATTAAACAAATCATTAAAAATGGTTACTGTTGCAATAATCATATTGTACTCTAAATAGGTCAGTATATAATGTCAGTATATAATAATAATAATAATAATAATAAAATATTGATTTGACTTTATTTTTAATTATAACAATTAAACAAATCAATAAAATCTTACTATTGCAATAATCCTATTGTACTGTAAAATAAAAAAAAATCTGTATTTAATAATAATAATAATAAATACTGACTTTTTATTTTACAGTGGAACAGGATTGTAGTGTGTATTCTATATGTGTCACAGTTATAGATTTGTGTTTTCTTTTAGTTGCCGTTTTCCTGTCTTCTGTTCTGGTTTAGTTCCTGTGTGCTCATATTTGTTCATGTTCCTGGTCTCGTTTAGTCATTATTATTTAACCACCATCACCTGTATTGCCCTCATTTAGTCACCTTATTTAAGTTCCCTCTTTAGTCCATTCAGTTGTCGGTTTTTACCTATGTGTATCCTGTGTGCTAGTCTAGTTTTATTTGTCATTAAAATACAAACGCTTTGGATTATTTTCGTCTGACTTCCTCTTCCTTTTCCTAGCAGCAGCGTGACAATATAAGACTCATTCCCAGTCCTCATCAGAAATAACCATTTCTGGAGTCACGTGATGCGTCCGAGGTAGTAACACGTAACCAAGAGAGCTCTCCAGAAATCGTGTAATATCTTTTAAAATAATCACTGAAACATTCCCCAAACATTGGTAAATTGTTACCTGGTACTGGTGAGCAATGGGAAACAATGAAGCGTCGACCAAAAACTAAGAAGGATGAGCATAGAGCTACCGAAACCACTGAGAGAAGGATCCCCCAAAATGGCGCTGAAGGGAACGTCTCTGAGGGGGAAAGTTCTGCGGGGGTGCTCGCCTCGGCGATGAAAGAGTTTCGCGAGATTATTGGTAGTGTTAAGCAGGAGCTGATCTCTCAAATGTCGGACTTAAGTAACTCTATCCAGGGCTCAACTGATGCTCTTACAGCGTCTGTCTCGTCTATACAAGGCCGGATTGTTACAGCAGAGCAAAGAATCAGCGATGTGGAAGATGCTTATCTCGGGAAACGAGCAGAGCCTTAATCTCCTTAAAGACAATGTGGTTCTTAAAAACAAACTGGAATATATAGAAAATTACAATAGGCGAAATAACATCCGCTTGATTGGATTGAATGAGGGATTTGAAGGTCGAGACCCGGTCGAATTCTTCAAGACTTGGATACCGAGCGTTCTGGGCGAAAAGAACTTCGGCACTCCGCTTGTCATCGAGCGCGCCCACAGAGTCCCGGCAACGCGGATCCCGGGGAGGGCCCCGCGACCCATCCTAATTCGATTTTTGAGGTTCCAGGACCGTGAAAGCATCCTACGAATCGCCCGAGATAAAGCTCCAATTTCCGTTGAAGGGAAGAGAGTCAGCTTTTTTCTGGATTTTTCGTTGGAGGTGATGAGAAATTATTCCCGCGCTCAAGGCATTAAAGGAGAAGAACGTCAAATGTCAACTTGTTTATCCCGCCCGCATTCGAATTCCCGCGGAGGACGGTGGAGCACGGTTCTGTCACACACCGGACGAAGCTTTCAAGTACCTGTCGGAATATGAAAGAGATGCAGCTAGACGCGTCTGATTCACGGGAGACGGTTACGGTCTCATAAACGTCCCAGATTGTTCTGATTCAGCTAATTTTTGTTAGAATGGACCGGGTGAGTAACTCTGCTGACTGATTGGGAAGTTCACCTGGTCATCCCCGGTTGCTCGTGATTTCATTTTCCCCCATACATTTGTGTACCTTTGTTTGCTTCACTCACATCCCTCGAAGAAATGTGACGAGTGTCTGTATTTTTGGCCTTCAATATGAGACACTTTACCTGATTATTGACTAAAATCTGTCATGAACGTTCTTTCTTTTCAGAAAATACAGTTTTGTGAGAATCATCCTCAATCTTGAACTTGGTAAAACAATTATCTTTATTTAAAATGTTTCAAGTCTTAATACTTTTCCTTTTGTTATACAGGGATAAATCATACCAGGATGTATACTAAAATTGTTTAATGTTGCGCCCTACCTAGAGAATTTTCCATCAGCCCATCTATTTGTAACGACATAACTTGTGACCATAGTTGCTAAAATATTTTCATAATTTGTACATCAAGATATTGAACATTGTAGGGTATCGAACCCGATTCAGACAATTTAAGATTCGATCAAGAACATGGTTGAAACACGAGGAGCTGAATTCCACAGAAAGTCTCAAGACACAGGATGTCGTAAATCAAATCCTAGTGCCAGCCAGTCTGATAAGACAAAGAACAGACTGAGATTCCTTATGAGACCTCTTAACCTCTGGTCTTCACAGAACATGTCCTTATGTTCACGGAATGGCACAGAAACGGTCTTTTACAGATATAGATGCACCAAAATGAACTCAAAAAGCCTTATAAACTAATATCAGTCCATTGCTTAACTCCATATCATGTATGTAATACACACATTGGACTATCATGTTCTAATATGCAATTGCACATATTGCTGTAAACTTGGGATTTCACATTTTCATTCTCTTAAACTTATTCTTTCCTCACTTTCTCTCTTTCTGCAACTTGTGTGAATAGATTAGTGGTGTTTATGTGTTAGATTAGTTTATATGTCTTAGATTTATCTAATAAAGCCG